GAGGACAAGATTTTTAATTATTATGGCGAAGAGAGAGATTTGTCATTTGTAAATTTTTTTTTAAAACAGTTTGCGCAACGATAATTTCCGGGGGCTAGTTTTTAAATTTTGCCAATTTCACGAGAAGCCGCATAAAGCGACGAACTTACTGGAAAAGCGAGGACAAAAATTTTTATGATTGCACGGAGAGTATTTTCTTTTAAAGTTTATCCTGAAAATCATGTAATCGTGAGACAACGCGACATTTCAAAGAACTTTAGGAGAGTTTTGTGAAATTTTACCATACATTTCACTAGTAATTATACTTAGTATACATTTCAGTGCGCGGAGAGAATTTTCTTTTAAATCTTACCCTGAAAATCATGTCATCGTGGTACAACACAGCATTTCGAAGAATTTTATGAGTTTTTTAAAATTTTACCATACATTTTACTAATAAAATGCTGTGTTGTCCCACGATGACATGATTTTCAGGGTAAGCTTTAAGAGAAAATTCTCTCCTTGTTGAAATTACAATGTATAAATTGTGTTGTCCTAATCTCGGGTAAAAGCAGCTCGGTAAAACGGCTTTTAAATTTCATTTACATGTATTCTTTAATGCAAGTAATCACTGTAGTATTAACCGCGTTCTCTCGAAAGAAGGAAGTCCGGCGTGCTACGATTACACGGAGTGGAGAACGTACGCCGTGAACGTACGATTTCTAACGGTGAACGCGTGATCTGCATAGAAACATCAGTTTGATAAAATTACGTATTCACAGACGACATGTTGCGCCGAAGGTTTTTATAAAAAGAAAAAAGAAATGAGATCTCGCGGAACGTTATCCTTAATAACGTGGCTCTCTTCCCACAATGCATTACTTGGTACCGGGGCGCTCGTTACGATTAACTAACAGTTCTCAGCGGATTTACGACAATTACGTATGTGGCATTAAAGAAATGTGTATTTAAAAGGCGTATACATATGTGCATACATACGTATCGTAGAGAACATCATAGAGAGTGTCTAACAGATTTTCCACGGTATTGAAGATTCGTCTCGGCAAAGCGAGCGGCTAAGGTCAAGGCCGCATATCCTCGACGTAACAATGATCGTTTGTTACGGAACGGCGACTTGAATGCTCTCGGACGGGGTCTGCGAACAGCCACGGCGAGTCGCCGCGCGAATCCGGACTTTCGGTGAGGGAGAATCGTGCTAAACGCTCTTCGACGGTGGACGGAGCCGAAGAAGCGCCAGGGAGATTGACAGAGCGACACGAAACCTGTTTGGTTTTCTTCCAAGACCATATGATTATTCATTATGTGATACACCAAGGCCTGGTTTCACCAACGTCGCTTAACTTTAAGCTTAGCTTAATTCATTCTTTGTCTCCTTTCAACTGTTACTTTAGACTCTTTAGAGAGAGACAAACGCGAACTAAGATTAAAGTTAAACGACGTTTGGTGAAACCGGGCCTAAGAGACACGATAGATATTTTATTCCGTTGTTGGAGAACGAGAGAGTCGTTCAGCCTGGGAAAATAAATGACGACAATCGTGACCGAATTTTCCTCTTTCGACGTGCAATCTGCTTCTTCCGAGAACGGTGCCGATTTTTTTTTCGGGAATCTAACGCGACTAATAGGAAAAAGTCCGATCGGGAGTACGTGTCGACGCTTCTTCGAACACTCGGTAACTCGGTCAGACCGTTATGCGTGCGTGCTGAAAGACCTCAATGGGCTTTGGCCGCATCACCTTCTTCCTGCCTTTCATTCTCTACTCTTTGCTCGCAAATACGCTCCGTCCGCTCGGCTTTGATCGGCGACGTTTATCTATATATCACACGTCGGCTTCTTGCGCTATGAGTTTTACCTTAAAGCGGCTATCCCGCAAGTACATCGGAAGCAGCGATGCCTATCGCGAATTCGCTCGATTCGCTCGAGAGTGATTTACGCCGCTCTTAAACTTAGCTCGTTAACCGCCCGACACAGACGCATCTCGCGCGTCCGTGTGACGGCGCGAGTGGCATGAAAATCAGCGATTCTCATCGCCGCTTAATTCGTGTTTACGACCGGGAGAAATAAGGGGTCATGGAAGATGCTGGTGCCGGTCCATTGAGGCCTTCAGCTGCCGAGCGTATAACGGTCTGACCGAGTTGTCGAGCCGATGGGTACGCGCCCAGTCCGTGGCTCGACCTTAAAGGTGGGGATTCGTGTCCTTGAAACATTTTGAGCACCGTGGCCTATTCTGCGAATTAGCATTAGAATGGCGAACGGTTCTCGGCTACTGCGAGGGAAGCGGTTCCCACTTCACGTATTAAAAAATACAGTTTCGGCTCGCGAGAGGAAAATGAGAGGTGTTCATTTTTTTTTTCATTCAATGTAAAACTTGCTTTCTTCTCTCGCGGAGAGGACCGGATTCCCCATGGTACCAAGTAAAAAGTTCATTTTGTATTATTTATAGATACGTTGTATTATTCTGTTATTATTTGTTGCACGTCGCACAATTCTCTTTGAGAATTATGTTATTAGCTTGACCTAGAACACGAAAAAAACCTTTGAATTCACGTCGCTAGGTGAGATTTGAATTTTGGCGAGAGTAATTTGTCAGAGTAATATCAGAAATTACATTTCCTTATACATTTATACGTAAGGAGGCAACTCTTGTGCTAAAAATACACGAGAAAGTACTTCTAGGTACATGTGCACCGTGCACGCGCGATAATGCTGGATATCCCATGCTCGTTAGTCACATATGAGAAAAATATACCGTACGCCACGAGCACTACGGGTCTCGGAATCAAACCACACGGCGTACCCACGAGAAAAGGTTTAACCATAGGCGCCGCAATTATCCGGCAGTAATATTGTATTACGTTTCGAAATTCCAGCGGTTTGAATTAAATATTATTTTTAAGTGCCTTTGAAAGAAACTCGAATAGAAATAAGCCATTTTAAAAAGAAGAGGAACGCGCGAAATTTCTCCGTTTAAGAATTTTATTTCCACAAAGAGAGAGATTGTGCGCAAAGCTCGCAAAACTCCTCCGCCTCTCCAAGTAGGATACGTAAAGGCCTGCGTGAGACGACGCTGCGCGAGATAAAGGCACGAATGAAGGAAAAGAAGTCGGACCGATCTGGATAATCGGTCGGCGCTAGAACGAGAATTAACGTGGAAAGATAATTAAAAGAATCGCCCTCGGAGAAAATACTTCGCCGCCCATGACCGAAGGGTCAAAGAGGTTCGCTCGCCGGGTGAGCCCCGACGAAACGGCGGGTAAGGGGGCCCGGTGAAAGGTGATTCCTAGCGAGAAACCGAGATCCCTGCGGGCACCTGCGTGCTCCCGATTTGTCTCGTTTTGCGCGGCGCGCGGAAAATTGGCCGCGCCGACGTTCTAATGACAACGCTCGGCCTGCGAGACCCGCCTCGACATTGTTGGCACGTTTTGCACGCTCGGCTCTATCATTTGCCGATCGTACATGTATTAGAAAGCCAGATTGTGGCTGCGTACAGCGAATTACGGCGGGGCCCCGCGCGCACCCGCGACGTTCTAAATTCCTTCTCCCGGCTGCTTATCGGTCAAGTCGTTTCGCGAAACCTCCGGCGAGCCTCCGCCGCGGCGGATCGCTGTGACCTCTCGTAAATTCGCGCGGGCCTCATCAGCTTCATTGACAGAAATATAGAACGCCAGCTGCGGAGGTGACGGGGAATTTCTAAATAAAAGAGCGAATATGATTCATTACGCCTTCCCGGCGGTGACGAGGAGCTCGCTGTAATTTTCGCGGGCATAACATACGCCGGTAATCAACTTTCATTGCATCCACAGCATAATCAGGCATCGTACGCGAGCCTTTTTGCTTCGGCTAATGCGACTCGTTGAGTAATACGTCTATCAATGTGATCGATGCGCGGAGAGCAGTGAAATTATACTGAAACGAGACTCCGCGCGCTCAACTCATTAAGCTAATAATCATGTTTATTCAAACTTTTCTTAGCCTTGACATGCATCTGCAACTCTGAAATTCTTTTCTTCCTCACGCAAATATGTCATCGCTGTCTCGCGCAAGATTTCTTCTCTTTTATTATGACCCTTTGGACTTTCTATTCTTTGACCAGTGAACTTTTTGCCTTACAGCTGAACGTACTGGTTTCGCCTTTTATTACTCGCTCTCAAGCATTGTTGCCTTGTAGCACCCGGCAAAAAATATATTTCTATCGGTTTGCGTCGCGTTTCATATATAATCGTTCCAACCATTTTTTTATAGGTGTTTTATCTCGTTGACTGCGTAATTTCTCGTATCATTTATATACCGGTATCTCTCATGTGTTAATTTATGTCTTTTTATATACTGAAGATGGCCCAGTTAGGACCGAAACGTCTATTTATTGCCTGATTCAATTAAATTTTTTGACACTACAACCCTGCCTAGGCTCTGAGCTTCTGTTATTACCTCGATTCTTATCATACGAGCCATTGTTATTTATATTCCTTTTGTTTCAGACACATTTCTCACGTCGGATCCACCCGGGGATCAGATATTTCTCGCGACATTCCGAGTTACCAAAGGCGATTCCTTCACCGTGGAGCTGGCTGATCCCTCTACCGAGGCCTTCCGGTTACGGTCGCGAGAGTATCGCGACCGCTTTAATCTTATCTTCCGTCGCAGCTGGCTGAAATTATCGTTCCTCGCAGCGGACGTCCTGGCGCTCGACGGGTAACAAAGCATCAGATTTACAAATAACGCTGGATTGCTTACGAAACCCTGGTAGCACAGTGCATTGGCTAAACCTTGGCTAAATATTGTCCCATTGTTGGTTATATTAGAAATGCGTTGGCCGATATTGTCCAACTTAAAGCCAACATTGGCCATGGAATAAATATAAATATTGCACGATAATAATTATATAATAAAAATATTCTTCAACGTCGCCAGCAGTAATTAACAACGTCAGTGTTTTCTTGACCATATCTGACATTTTTAATAATACAGAAAATAAAAATGCCAGAATATATTAAAAGTACCAGATACGGTCAAGAAAACACTGACCCTAATAATTATATAATATTAAATTTATATTGAAAGCGCATTGGCCAATATTTAACAACGTAATAAGAACATTGGTCTAATATTGCTAAATAGACAAATTGGTGGCTAAATAAGAGAAGACGTCCATCTTTCAATATTGGACCAATATTGAGAATACTAGCTTTACATTATTTCCCAATATTGCGCCAATATATTGTGCTACTAGGGGAACCAACAAGGATGTAGAGTTTTAGATCGGGTAAGTTAGATCGGGTAAGAACCAATAAGAATGCAGAGCTTTAGATCAGGTGACTAAATCCTGATTGGCTCCCGTAAGCAATCCAGTAGGAAAAATAGTATCGTGTACCGTTGGCTTAATACTAAGCTGATACCCGATTATCTCCTGCATTCGTCTTCGAGCCGCGCCATGAGGCACACCTAAAGGCGCGCTTGCAAAACAAATTGTGCAACAGCATCCAACAGTGAGCGCGTCACGTGTGAGATCAGAAAATCGGCCAATTACGAGACCACATATGGTCTCTCCCTCGGCCGGTTTCCCCGGTCGTGAAATCCGTTTTCGTGGACGGGAAAAATGGCGGCACGAAGCCAACCGATGTCACGGAAACCGATGAAAACGGCTCGGGGCAGCGCGCGGGAGAGAAATCGGTCGCGATCGTTTCGCAGCTTTCTCGCGATTTCACGACACTTGCTCCTTTCAGCGTTCAATGAAATGTAACCGCCATTATTGCGGCCACGCTCATCAATAATGTATCGCACTCAAGTCCGTAGATTTCACCCGATTTATCCTCACCGGCGGTCCACGAGATGAGTCGCGCCTCCGCGCGGATTTCCTCACTCGGATTTCCGCGCAATTACAAGTCGCGAAATTAAAAAAAAACACTTTATAATACTTTAATAGACAAAAGAAAAAAAGAAATATCAGGTATTATAAATATGACGTAATATTGTCTTTAAACAATCATCTCTCTCAATGAATTCTCAGCAAGTTTCATACGATTTTTCCAGAGCTGGGAAAGTTACTTTATAAAAGTATCTAGCTACAGTTACAGTTATTTTTGCCAAAAATATAGCTGGTTACAGTTACTAAAAAAATAACGAATCGTTACTCTGCAGTTACTTTCTTGCTATGAAAATAAAAATATCAACTCTGCATTTGAATTGTAAAGTGTCGATAAAGGCGTTCATGCGCAGATGCAAGGCCTAATGCAATCTGTGGCGGTATTAAAATACATATAAAGTAATTTAATGTGACTATTAAATTAGTTACTAGTTATCGAAAAAATGTAACTGAGTTAAGTTACAGTTACAGATGGAGGGAAGGTAACGAAGTTAAGTTAGAGTTACCAAAAGAAAAGTAACTGTAACTTCGTTACAAGTAACGAGTTACTTGCCAACCCTGCATTTCCCAACGCGTTAAGCAGTCTACATCTGTACATAGGGTGGAGGGCCGCGATTTGGTGGTGCACTTTGACGTGAGGTTCGACCCGCGATATCAGACTATAACCACCGGGAATATCGTGGACATCCTGTCGCGAGAATTGAACCCCGAAACCTCGCGGTACCTCGCAAATCTGACGATAGAAGCAAAGAGCCTCGAAGTGCAGGAGAGCCTGAAGGCCCTCAACGCGCAGAGTAGTCCGCAGTCGACCGTCTCGACGTTACCGCCGACAACGACGGTCCCTCCGCCGAGAAGGTGCGGCAAGCTGGATTTGTCCTACTGCAAACTTCTCCCTTACAATATCAGCTCGTATCCGAACATGTTGGGACATAGATCGTTGGCGGAAGTCGAGGAGGACGTTATCGCTTTCAGGTATGTCTTCCTAGACTCGATGAGTCCACAAGAGAGACTAGATTAGAAAGAGCATATATATATTTTGACAGGTTATGCATTTTATTAGCCTTTCATTGATCAAGAAATTATTGAAAAGAATTAAATTTTATGACTTTAATTATGTCATCTTATGTCACTTTCAAATTTCAGCTTTTACATTTTATTGTTAGTTACGGTGGCGACATTAAAGACTGCAATAGTTGCGCAAACTGTTGAGCTTACTTAATTATAATAATAATATGATTTAATTTGTACGATTGAAATTAGAGAACTGGTGGACGCGGAGTGCTACACGTCGGCCTATGAGTTCGTCTGCCAAGTGCTGCAGCCTGCGTGTCGATCGAGTCAACCGGAGGATCTGCTGCAACTGCCTTGCAGGAGCTTCTGCAGGGAGTTCTGGAATGGGTGCGGCAGTCGTCTGCCCGAGAAGATAAAGCGCGCCTTGGATTGCTCCAACTTTCCGGAGTACGCCGGTCCTGGTAGTTGCAGGCCAAAGCCAGGTGCATTATTGTTAATATAAAATTAATAAAAGCTAATTGTCATTAATACAGAGCCGTTATTCAAAAGCAATTTTCTCTTAATCAAATTACCAAAAAACACTATCTTATGAATTAATCGGTCGATGTGAATATCGATACAGGATGCGTGCAGGCGCTTCAGTCGAAAGCCTTATCTCCAAGGATTTGCGACGGCGTGATCGATTGTCCGGATCTTTCTGACGAGAAGAACTGCGCCTACTGCCGGGATGGTGACATGCATTGCGGAGTAGGAAGAACCTGTGTACCACACACGAAGCGATGTGACGGCAAGGCGGACTGCCCGAATGGCAGCGACGAGAAAGACTGCCGTAAGTAATGTGATAAGCAGTAAAGTGTAATGAATCGCCCTTGGAAAAGTTGAATGGGAGCATTCATTGAATTTGGATGAAGGAACAGTGTTGATTGGATCGAAATTAATGTCCTTTATACACGTCTTTGTCGCAGTATTCCTGGCGCCGAGCGTCCGCGAACTAAAATCGCAATCCTGGAGCACGCCGCACGCCGCCAAGTACAACAAAGAGGGCTACGTCGTATTCAATGAGAAAGGTACCATCGGCAAACTTTGTACGGCGAATTTAAACGCTACTCTGCCAGATACGGAGATGGATAATGTTCTCCAAACAGCAGCGAGCTCACTGTGCACTCTACTCACATACACGTAAGTATTTTGTATAAATATCTTCCTCGATAAAGTTAAAATAAAAATCAGGAATCAGAAAAGGACCGAAGATCGACGCTACTTGGATATTGACTGTAATTTAAGAGCTATTTACATCTTGTATCACCATTTCGCACAATTGGAAGAGAATTTTAATTTACAAATCGCTGTCTTCTGCAATACAGTGGCGTAGCTTCCGTTGAAGTAAGAACTGACGACGAAGAGGATGTCCCGTACGTGTACATGGAGGATCCCTCAGCACCTGAAATCACTTTCGTCCGGGCTCCTTGCCCCAGCAAGGAAGTTCTGTACGTCCGCTGTTCCGATCTCGGTACGAATTCCTCTACGTATGCGTATTATAAGAATTTTCATCTTTTAAATAAACGCTTCGGCGCAATTGTGCATGTGGCTCTAAACTTTTTTTCAATTTACACACTTCCTCAAATTCAAATTATTAATTCTTCTCATTTTCTGTGCGCGTTTGCACGTCTGGACTTTCACACTTCTGTTTACCTTTCGATTTTACACTTACGTCTTTCGTTCTGTTTTTTTGGGGGGAAATTAGAGTGCGGAATACAATCTCTGCGCGCTAACGGCGGCACCAATGGTCTCAATAAGATGGCAGAACCTGGCGATTGGCCCTGGCACGTTGCACTCTTCAAGGAGGGAGTTCACGTCTGCGATGCCACTCTCGTGGCAGACAATTGGTTACTCACAACCGCGTATTGCTTCCAAGGGTACGTTTTACTTCGTATTATAAAAGTACACACAGTAATGGAAAAATTCTCTTACACTACATACTCCGCGTTCCATTAACGTCATAATTATGAAATTATGAAGTCAAAGACGCAACTGTTAATTTTAATATATTACATTACACGTACATTGTGCGTGTTACACATACAGTCCTGATTTTGATGGTCTCAATTTTTTATTTAGTCAACCGAAAGCGGAATGGTCGGCTCGACTTGGGGTCGTACGACTTTCGAGCACGTCGCCCTGGGAACAAGAACGTAGAATCGTCGGTATGATCAAATCACCGGTGGAGGGCACGACCGTTCTGGTGAAGTTGGATAGACCGGTGACGACCTTTTCGGACTTCGTGAGACCGGTTTGTCTGCCCTCCAGCGAGGATTCACCGAGCAACACATCGCAATGCAACACTCTTGGCTGGGCGAGAAATCGTACGTGCACAATCATGATGTACTACTGACCCTTAATTGCCTTTCAAAATTTAAAGGCCCATTTCTCGAAAGAGTTAAAACATTTTTTTATCATTTTTAGGCGCCATTGAACATCGAAGAATAACTTATTGAAAAATCGACTTGATATTACGTTGTTATTGCAATATATATTTTTTATTGACAATATTTAAATAACAAAATTTCAATATGTGCATTATGTTAACAATGCTTAATAATTTATTTAAAACTCTATTAGACAGTAGAAAATAAATCAAAATGTAAACTATACAGGAAAACTGTAAAATGTCTATTAAACGTCAATTCTTTCCATTTTTACACGAATGATCGAAGAACAAAGTGCAAAAAATACTTGAAACACATAATATCTTTTTCTCTCTCTCTTGACAGGCGATTTATTACAAAGGGTACAACTCAAACATAGTGCAATGGAGAAGTGTGAAAATATCAGCATCCCTTCAGTAAACAGTGTTTGCACCGAGCAAGCATATTCCGCGGACGATTGCAACGTAAGCTAATAGTTTTCAACATAAGTTATTACCTTAATTAAACTGTTTTCTATCAATTTTATCCCTTTATAGGAAGTTTGTTTCGCTGTTTCTCAAGACAAATGTATTTTAAATATAAGGGGAATTAATTAGTGACATAAAGTAATACAATTTTAATAGGAAGAAGAACTCGCCGGCAGTTCGATGCTGTGTCTGCAAGAGGATGGTCGAAGATGGGCGCTGGCGGGTATCGGTAGCTGGAGGATAGCTTGCTCGAAGGACGGCATCGAGAGACCTCGGTTGTACGATAAAATTTCGTCGCATATCGATTGGATCAAAGCTACTATTGGTTGAGAAATCCGTTCGTGAATTAACATTTGATAAACAAATACGCGAATAAGACGTATGCTCGACATATCCACGATGGATCGCGGACGATAAGAAATGACCGTTGTAATATTAAAACATAGGACTGATATCGAAATTGTGATAGAAATTTTCTAAATTGATACGCGCGACGATCGTTAAGTACTGCACGCCGACTCAGTCGCGTCCGTCTTGCACGAATACATGTTGTTATCAATACACCATTTTATCAGGTACGACGTATTCTGTTACTGATCACCGGCACGTGCAATCGTATTTTTGTAAATACCTAATCTTTTCTTTATGTCTAAGGATATAAAAATCCTTCGTTACCGTGGCATAATTTTTTAACTTATTTTTCTCGCCCTACATTTACTTTACCATGCGTATACATAGTTGCTTTGTACGTTATCTCTAGATTCATATCATTATTTTAGTGATTACGATGCATTTACGTTTGTAAGATCGTTTACACATTAAAGTTTCCTAAAATAATAATTTTAAGACTTAAATAGGACGTTTTTTCCTGAACCCCCTCGGTGTCGTATGCGAAGAGATGGACGAAATTCAAGACCTACTCAACTTATTTATCATCAGAACGTTATAGTCTTACGATAACGAATTATATAACGTAAGTTGGCAGCCTCGCGAAAGTACACTTTGCGCAGAAGCATACGAGTAGTAGGTGGGAGATGACAGTGCGAGATGAGAATCGATAAGAACGGAAATAGTAGTAGCATGATCGTCATCGAGGCGAGTCTGTTTCTGTTTCTCGTAGATTCTTCACTGGGAACGTAGCAAGTCGTTTATTCATCTCGTCGATGGTAATGTTTTTCGAACGATTGTTTAATAAGTGAATACATAAGTGAAATTTGAATAAGAAAAATACGCTCGCTGCTCCTCTGCGACAGAAAAATTATATAACATTGAATACCATTCATATCAGGAGCATTGAGTAACAGGTGTTTGTTACTATTTAGTCCAAGAGTGTTAGTACACGTGATGTGGCAACATCGATTAATCCCCGAGATTACAATTCTAACATTAAAGTTCTGAAATTAGTTTGAATTGCGTGTCGAGTTAATTTTTATATGTATTTTATGTATTTTCAAGATTCTTTTTCAATTCTTCAGGATTAATTTTTCTTACTTCTTACTTGGCTTTCTTTACTTCTTACTTCTTACTTTCTTAAATTTTTTTACAAAAAAAGTTGCCATTGTTTGAACAGTTTATCTTGCTCTAATGTTATTAAATACATGAATTATGTGACGGAAATTGTACGTAGAGAGATTTACCCTTCTCAGCTCCGTTATTCGTTAGCAGAAATAAGGAATGAAGAGCTTGTTTTGTCGTGCAAAAAGGTTAAAACACGTTTTTTTATCACACAAGAACAATAATGAAGAATATAATATAGAATAGCCCTGTTCTATCCTGTTTATGTAAGAGTAGGTATATTTCGTAATTAAAATCATCTTGTTAAAATGTTCCGTGGAAATTAATAAATCTTGTTATTATTTATCTAAGCAAACTGCGAATCAAATAATGATGTTACAACTAATATTATGGGCAATGTGAACCGTCACCCGTTCTAAGGTGATGAAAACAATTAACTACAAATTATAAAAATAATATGCATTAAAGCGGATGGTAATGATGGAATGTCGACACACAATTGACCAGCCTTTTTTTACACTTATTCGGACGTAAATCAGTACTTCTCGCATGTACGTTTTCGTTAAGATGTTACGACTCATCTGTTTTTTGGAAAATTATGACTTACCTAAAATTATTTATGTATTTAATATTACATTGCTGAAGAGGGTCACATATGTAGACCGAAACGTTCAATTTGTATCGTATTTCTACCATCCGCTTTAATGCATATTATTTTTATAATTTGTAGTTAATTGTTTTCATCACCTTAGAACGGGCGACGGCTCACATTGCCCATAATATTCGTTGTAACATCGTTATTTGATTCGTTGTTTGATCTGGAGCCTTATCTTACTTCTTAATTGTTTTAAGTAAATTGCTTATCTATTTCAAACAAAATAACTAACAATCTGTTTAAAATGAGATCGTGAGATGCTTATTGTTTGAAAATAGATAACTGCTTATGTATTCAAAGAGTATTGAAATGAGTTTATCTTAAAATGAATCTCGTCCACTAGAAAATTTGTAGAAACACTTTTCATCGTGTACAACGTTTTGCCGAGTCAATTCATACGCACTTTACAAAGGAAATGGCAATAACGACTCACGATTGCGTTGGTCTCGCACGAATCGATCCTGTGGATAATCCAGTCGATCTCTTCAGAATGTGGCGCAACGAAGCGCTGAAATTCCAAACTGGATTGGTAGATGTCTGTTGTCTAGCGACTGTGTCTCCCCCGTAGGTATTGTCTAAAAGTATACCATTCAATAGAGACATATATGTGTACATTTAATCCACTCTGTATCTCAGAAATTTCAAAGTCAGCTCGAGGAATTTAATGTTACGAGAATTCGACGATAACGGTTTTGTCATCATGACAGATGCACGCAGTCAGAAAGTGAAGGACATGGTAAATATTTTAATCTCGAAATATTAATAGATTTCACGGGAAGTAACTTAAAAATGTGTATTCTAAAGAAAGTTCAGTTAAACCACCGTATTATATAAACCGTATTATAAATCGTACGAAGAGGACGTAAATTTGTACGTATTTTCTTTCCGAATTATATCTGTTTAACGTTTCAAATGTAGACTTTAGTGGAAGCTACAAGAAGAGTTGTAAAAATGTGAAAGTAATAATTTCTTGAATTATTTGTAAAGCAAAAACCGCACCCTAAATTAGTCGAAACGCTAAGCGAGAAACATCCAATAATTTTCAAACTTAATTCGCTCTAATGTCTTCGAATACTGAAGATTTTACTTCCTTTACTTTTTCTTTACAGGATTGTAATTCATATACTGCTATGTGCTTTTTGTGGAATTATAAGAACGATGAACAACATCATGTTATGCGACAGGCAAGTAGCTTTGGCGTAATCCACCAACTAAATATTAAATCAAACAACTAACGCGAACGCCTTGTAGGACCAAGCAAGATGTAGGTAGCTCAATAATTTAAATCTTATTATGCGAATTCATATACCGTTTTTCCATCTGTCTTGTGCGCCAGTTTCTTTTCGGACAAAACCGGCGCACAAGACAGATGAAAAAACGGTATATGAATTCTGTAGAATGTTATGTCCGAAAAGAAACTGGCGCACAAGGCGGATGGAAAAGCGGTATATGAATTTGCATAATAAAATTTGAATTATTGGGCTACTTACATCTTGCTCGGACCTACAAGGCGTCCTCGTTCGTTGTTTGACTTTGCCTAGAGGTCTTATTTAGCTCCAATAAATATTAAATGTACTTGTTAAATATTTAATCTTTAACATGTTTCACATTTATTCAGACATTTTATAATTTTTGCTTCTGTAACTAGTGAAAAGCGTGTATAAGGCACAATATCCGTAAATAGAACATGCAGTACGGTGCATTAATTCGGTTCGAGTAATGATCAGGGATGGATAAATTTACATGATTATTTAAACATAGATGCCTTTGATGATACAATCTGAACCGAACTGATGCACCGCACTTGAAATACGTCTAACGTTCCGTTAGAACAGGTAGTGCTTAAAATTCCAAAAAATGATTTAGGCGAGGATAGAGGGATCGATGAAAAAACTGGAAAGACCGGCCTGTCAACTTATATACGAGAGAGAGCCGTTGTACTGTAAAATCCGTGCCCACTTATGCCATCAGGATCAACCGGCTAACTGGGACGAGTTGAACCGTCGGTATAATGAGATATTAGAACAACTGGACGACAAAACGCACGAGGGAGAGGACTTACCAATGCCGGATCACGTGTAGGTTTTTTCAGCTGAATTTTATATAATATATACGTATAACATAAATAAGCATAAAATCTAGATATTTAAGAACAATATATTTGTCACAGGCGAAGTTAAAACAGCGTTTCTTATGTTTTCAGCGTAGCTTATAAATTATCACCCGAGATGATGGAATTTTATTACGCCCGGGACCAATTAATCGCCGATCGAATACATTACAAAAAGAATGAGAGCAAGGATCGCTGGGATTATCAAAGAATAACAGCGTAATTTTGTATTGTGTGTCTGTGTTCCCTCAAATTATTCTATGTGTGGCGGATCTATGTAATTTTTATAATCGCATTTGTAATGTTCCGATTTAATCTTTACTACAATATTTCTAATTGCAATAGAAAAGGTTTTATTAAAAAGCAACAAAAACTTGAAGCTCTTATTTTTATACGTGTAATATTATTGTAAATTATATTACGCGAATTATTACTCATGAGGCTACGTTATTTTTAAAAGTAATGAAAAATATATCGAATAATAGACTGGACGTATCAAATTAACAACGAAGTTTTCCAAGTTAATATATTTATATTACTATTGCCATCTCTTTCGTTTATTTCTAGCGCAGTATATTTTCTAGTACAATACATTTTTCTATTAGGTACTTAACACTTCGAATGTACACACATTCTATTACATTGAAAAGAGAGCAATCTTAAATAATTTCTTACAAACTTTCAACCTGAAATTATAATGTAAAATTAGAATTGGCAAAACTGGAGAGATCGGCTGGAAGTGTTAGCCAGTGAAATTTTCCCGCTAACATAACGGTGCACGAAACGTTCGATACCTGAGCCGCGGGATCCAATAATACGGCGGCAATTCGTGCCACGTGACTCGCGTGACAGCTTCTATGCGGCAAAGCGGGAACGTTGCTCGCCAATTGGTCGTACAACGCGCATTTACGGTGCTCTAACAGCGCGCGTATCGGCATCGTAGGAGAAGCTTGGACGCTGGATGGCCTGAAAGCGTGCTCCCGGCTCACGACGCACGCAGTGTGTCGGCAGCACATACGTGGTGAAGTACGACTTAAAATTCAAAATGTCCAACGACCCGCCCACCGGGTGTAATAACGCGATCGATAGTTACCTCCTTTTGGAAGACGGCAGCGTTTTCTCGGGGAAACGCTTCGGCGCCGATGTGTCCGTTGACGGTGAAATTGGTGAGTTGATACACAAGTGTGGACACGTGTTCCTTTCACGAGTCGGAGTCAAGTGCGTACACGTGCCTTCTGTCTCTCGTGGCGACTTCCTTAAACCGGGGAGCATTGCATACGATGGCATTGTAAGATGGAACACGTTGTCCGCTTTGCATAATAGATACCTGTTGATATTAACATATTGCGAGTGAACATTACTATTATTTTATATAGACCGCACGTAGAAAAGAAACGCAGTATATTTTTGTGTAATTCACCAGAGGCATTCATTCACGATGCAGTATTATTCGTTTTCTCAACCGCTCCTGGGACCATAGAGTTTTCAACTCCGACTTTGTGTTTATAGAGATACGGCGTCATGCTCGCTTGAGGTTAAATATGCGCAAATATCACGTCTCAAGTATGATAACTTTTGAAACGATGTAACGTCTGTCAGTTAATTAATCATTTCAGATGTGTTTCATAGAAGACTGCTATTTCATTACATTGTTCCTTATCAGTGTAAAGTCTGTAGAGAGATGTGATAACAGTGTATTCATTTATAACGTAGGACGTTTCTAAAAGTATATCTACCATTAAATAAATATTGACCTTTAAAGTGTAATATTGGTTCGGTAATTGTACATATATAAGTACAGCGACAATAAAAAAATGTCTTTCCTTTTTCCTTGATTCAATAATTAACGTTTTCATGAAAAATATTTCTTTCAATTTCATTTAACTTGTTTTGTTATGTACTTTTTACAAGTTCAAACCTAATGCAGAACAAATCTGTCCTTCGTGAATAGATAACGGAAATAATTGTTTGTTCGACGCAACTTGCTATAAAATATATTTTATTACAAATTAACGACATTTCTACCACGGGTTTTGGTTCTTTTAGAACTAGAATTGAATTTTGACTGTTCTCTTTCTCAATTAAAAGGAAGAAAGGGAGAGAGAGAGAGAGAGAGAGAGAGAGAGAGAGAGAGAGAGAGAGAGAGAGAGAGAGAGAGTTTATTTAAATAACGAACAATTTACATTGCGATTCACAGAAATAGACAAAGTATTTTATTTAAATGTCAATTAATATTAAATTATATATATGTATATTAAAATATAACTGGAAAATGTAGTTTTCTTATGTTCAGCAAAAGACCCTGAATTTAAGAGACTGAAATAAGAAATATCAATAACTATTTATTGATATTTCTTATTTTAATCTTTGAAATTTCTTTAAATTGCTTTAATATTTTAAAAGTTGGTAGGAAACATTAAGTCCTACATTTGAATATTTTTAATGCGGAAAAAGTTATTGCTATAACTTTAAATATCATTTTTCTAACTTATTTAGAACTCGAAGGGTATTAATGGTTTGTATTCGTAGTTACTTCGAACCGATTAGCGGTGATAAGCCGTATAAAATGATTACGTTGCAACATGTGAATGATAGATAGATATCGTTAGTCAAATCTCGCTAGTCTTAAATTACGTTTGGTGTGTCTTTATCTTAACATAAATTCTAAACAGAAGCGGGGGGAAAAGGGAAAAAGGACGATAGACTTTAAAATAGACATAATATATTTTTCTGTATCAATTGTGTATTATAAATATATTTCCGGTAGATGCAATCTCTTAAATTAGACATAATATGTTTCGCAATTTTAATACATATTATTGTTATTTGTTATTATTATAGTACTTTAATACGTTGTTAATTTCACACAAATTAATACGTGACCTGTAATCGTATATCATGTAAGAGAATACCACAAAATCCTCCGACTTGATACAAACTTGCTGATGCAAAGTTGCATATACAAACATACATAATGAGCGCTCACTTACAAATCTTCACGTCGGATTATATTGCGCGGAAAATTTTCAAGTCACACACATATCACTGCATAGTGACGGTGTAGACAATTAACATGTTGTACAATAGATTTTTCTTTGAAGCAATTGATTTCTAGAAACATCTTAGTTGCCGGCAGCTTTTTGTCAATAAGGTTATACAAACTTTGAAATTTCCTAAGGTTCCCAGACAGCACACCATGTCTAAAAGACAGCTTTAAGACGTCTTTAAGTCTAAAAGGCGTCTTAAAGACGTCTTTATAATGTGTGTGCTGTCTGGGTTATAAAAACTAATTAAAAATTCCTGAGGTTACAAAAACTAATTAAAAATTCAAAGTCCGCGAGATAAGAAAGTTTTTACGAGACTAGAACTAACCCACAGAGCAAAACAAGTTTCAGAAAGCTTTCCGAAAGATAACTTGGAAACTAATATTGAAATGTAAAATTGAAATCATTCAGAAATATTTTGGAAACGTTTCATCAAAATCACATGTCATTGAAAGCTTTCCAAAAGATACCTTGGAAATTAATATTGAAATGTAACATTGAAATCATTCAGAAGTATTTCTGAAACGTTTTATCGAAATCATTTATGATCCTTCTCACTGAAATATTTCAGAAATATTACAAAACATTTCAAAGAAATATTTCGTACGTAATCTCTAAAACATATATTATTGAAAGCTATCCAACATATAACTTGGAAATTAATATTGAAATGTAATATAGAAATTATTCAGAAATATTTCCGACGTATTTCAGAAATATTTCCGAAGCATTTAAGAGATATTTCTGAAGCATTTCAGAAATATTTCAGAAACATTTATGATATCTCATCTACGCGGACATTTCATGTATCTGAAACATGTCTGAAATATTTTTTTGAAAGGTTTCATATTTCATTGACAGCTTTTTGAGAGCTTTCTGAAATATTTCGGTGCTGTGTGGGAACATTCCAATCTTAATAAGTACAATACATTTAGTAAAGCAATAAATATATAATTTTACAATGTTAAGTGTAGATAAAACTAATTTGTTTTAATTATGTAATAACTATATTACTAATACGTGTTATTATATGGGAATTTTTTAATTAATTGTATGAAAATGTTTGGATTTGTATTTTCCTACAAGTCTGTTGTGCAAACTGAAATAATGTGCACTTTGTGTACGTGCAAATATAAATATTATGTGCATATATAAAGATTATTAATTCTAGTCTATTAGTTCTCTAAAGATTATTATTTTACTTGCAGTTTTCCAGACTGGTATGATCGGTTATCCAGAGTCACTCACAGATCCTTCTTATCACGCTCAAATTTTAGTGCTTACATATCCGCTAATAGGAAACTATGGCGTCTTCGGCGACGAAAAGGACGAATACGGTCTACCGTAGTAAGTGGTCGTAATCAGATTTAATTCAACGCCTATTAACAACTTCAGGCAACGACAATATTTATCTTCGTCTATTACTTACATGTGAATCGAACTGATCAAAGCAACATGCACTTTTTCCACGGAACACATAAAGCACGTTTTTATAATATCTTAATCGTAAAGTTTGCAAGAAAAATAATGAGCAAAATAATAAGTAAAAATATAAAATAGGAGAGTAATAAATAAAAAATATATTTATATTTAGTAAAACGTCGATTTATCCTTTCTTAGAAATTCCTTTTAAAAAAAAGCATATATTTAAAAACAATTTTTTAAAAAGAGCATATATTTTTTGAAATTTTTCTAGAAAAAACATTTTTTAATTTTCTGCAAGACTAAATTAAGAAATAATACGTGCGTATAAATATCAAAAGTTTCATTTTGTATTGATGGGCAAAATATTAATTTTAACGCAGCTGGTTCGAGTCCCATCGTATTTGGGCTGCTGGGCTCATAGTTGGAGAAATTTGCGAGAAGCCCAGCCACTGGCGGCAAGATAAGACGTTGTCCGATTGGATGAAACAGCAAAACGTACCTGGGATATGTGAGATTGACACACGTGCATTAACGAAAGTTATTACCGAGAAAGGTACTATTGTAGGTAGGATAGTTCTTGATCAGCCGCCACACGTTATGCCAATAATGCCTCCAATAGAAGATCCTAACAAAAGAAATCTCGTTGCGGAAGTTTCTCAGGTAAAGCAATCATTTCTTTTCACGGGCATTTTATGGCGGTCATCTTGCTCAATGTTCGAATTTTACTCGATTCTTCAACCATTGTACCAATTGCAAATAATATGATTAAGTATGAACAAATGTATTAATTTGCAAATGCACTAGTATTTTCGCACATAAAGTTACTTAATAAAATCTTTCTTATAAAAGTCATACTGTCTCTTAATATAAGAGAGTTTCACATAAGTATAATATTTTTCAGCCGATCCCAAATACATATAACCCGGACGGGCATCCTCGTATATGCGTAATTGACTGTGGCTTAAAATATAATCAACTGAGATGTTTATTAAAACGCGGTGCTCGCGTGGATGTTGTGCCATGGGACTTCGATTTTAAAAGTGCCGAATACGACGGTTTGTTCCTTAGCAACGGCCCTGGCGATCCCAGCATGTGTCAGGTGACAATAGAAAATATACGAGAGGCACTCAGGCAAAAAAGACCTATCTTCGGCATATGTCTTGGGCATCAACTGCTATCCATAGCCGCTGGCTGTGTCACGTACAAAATGCGGTACGTACCATATGTCAACACACTGTTCTCATAAGAATGGACTAGCAAACACTGCTGAAATAATACAAGAAGGACCGTTAGACAACATTTGGTATTACAGATGTTCTAGTCTCGAAGTTTTTTTATTCTATGCACGGAGAGAATTTTAAAACCTTTTACAGCCCGAAAATCCTGTGACCGTCGGACAACATGGCAGTTTGAAGAATTTTATGAGAGTTTTTTAAAAGTTTAGCCAGGGTTGGAAAGTAACGAAGTAACAGTTACTTTTTTTTGTGAACTCTAACTTAACTTCGTTACTTTCTCTCCATCTGTAACTGTAACTTAACTCAGTTATATTAATAGTTGCTTTAGATATTTTTTAATATTCCAAAGTGTTGTGAAGGCTCCTCTCTACATGTGTTTTAAACCTCCGTATATTGCATTAGGCCTTGCATTTGCGCATAAACGTCTTTATCAAAGATTTACAATTCAAATGCTGGTTTGATATTTTTATTGCAAAAAAGTAACTGCAAAGTTTTTGAGTAACTGTAAAGCGTTACTTCTCAAAATTGGTAACTTGTAACTGTAACTAGATACTTTTATAAAGCAACTCTCCCAACCCTGAAGTTTACCATACATTTTACTAATAAACATTCTTTTTCGTAGACATTTTATGATGATTATCTTGCCCAATGAGTAGGGTATATGAGGAGGGAGAGGTCCGGGGCGAGGGGGCTCGGTTGCGGGCGCGGGGATATGGATAAGGGAAGGGAGGGGGAAATTCCCGTCTGAAGGGCCTGATACCATTTTATCTGTTATTTTCCCTGTTTTATCTTTCAACGGCCATCGATTAGTAACAATATAAACTATTGAATGAATTTTGTGACAGCTTTTTGAAGTTTTACCATACATTTTACTAGTAACTACACTTAGTATACATTTTACTAGTAAAATGTATGGTAAAACTTCCAAAAACTCTCATAAAATTCATCGAAATGCCGTATTGTCCTACGATTGCACGATTTTCAGGATAAATTTGAAAAGAAAATTCTCTCCGTGATGCAGTGCAAAGACTTATTGTTACGTCATACACGAATGGTCTTCTTATTATGTAATACCTACAAAATATAAAATAGCTGACTGTGTTACAAGTTACAAGCGATGCCTGTCACTCATTTTGCAGATACGGCAATCGAGGCCATAATCAACCGGCGACGCATCGCGTTACCGGACGTTGCTACATGACCTCGCAAAACCATGGATTTTGCGTCGATGCTGCCCAATTGCCTGTTGATTGGGAGGTGCTGTTTACCAACGCTAATGATAATAGCAACGAAGGCGTGGTCCACTCAATCTTGCCGTACTTTTCCGTTCAGTTTCACCCGGAACATACGGCAGGGCCTGAAGACCTCGAATGCCTTTTCGACGTGTTCCTGCAAAGCGTGAAAGACTACATCAATAAGCGTCCTTGCATTTCTGTAAAGGATAGGCTCACCGAGAGACTTACCTATCGACCTTCGCTTCCAATCGGGACCGAAAAACCGAAGAAGATATTGATTCTGGGTTCGGGAGGGCTCAGCATCGGCCAGGCTGGAGAGTTCGATTATTCGGGCTCGCAAGCGATTAAGGCGCTAAAAGAAGAGTCCATACAAACTCTATTGATAAATCCTAACATCGCCACGGTGCAAACCTCAAAAGGAATGGCTGACAAAGTCTATTTCTTGCCGATTATATCGGAATATGTAGAACAGGTGGGCTTAGTTGCACTTAAGGTCCAAAGAACGAATCTTCTCATACTGATGGCTTATCATTATTAATTGTAATTTGAATAATGTATTAATGTGCCCTCAAACGTTCGTTAACATTAATGCAAAATTTAATGTAAAGACGTACATGTTTCGATGAAGAGATACCACATTTTACCTAATACGTGATGTTAAAAGAAAAATAATATGTATTCAATCTGCTTTAGGTGATACGTTCCGAAAGACCGGACGGCGTATTATTAACATTCGGTGGGCAAACCGCCCTAAATTGTGGCGTTGAACTTGAGAAGAACGGCGTGTTCGCCAAATACAATGTTAAAGTTTTAGGAACGCCAATCGAGTCCATTATAGAAACCGAGGATAGGAAGATCTTCGCGGATCGTATTAGCGAGATAAATGAAAAAGTTGCGCCGAGTGCTGCCGTGTACTCGATCGAGGAGGTATTTATAACAGTGAATTTTATTACAGACTTGCATTTTTTTTAAAATCTTTCAGATCACAATTTTATGGAACTGTGTGTGACAAACACAGGCCACTTTATCGACCTATATCTTGAATACATTTTAAATCGCTTCCGTCCATAATAAAATCTCCCGCTGCTGATAAATAATAAACAATTTCCGAGTCAATTCTTTATAAATTTATAAAATAAGAATCCCATGCCCAACGTATTGCCAACACGCGCATCCAATTCCTTCCTAAAGAGTACCGAGTAATTTTTTACAATTCCAATTTGCATAATTTTTCTTAAACAGGCATTACGAGCTGCTGAAAAACTGGGCTACCCCGTAATGGCGCGCGCTGCGTTCTCGCTCGGTGGCCTCGGATCGGGCTTTGCTAACACGAAAGAGGAGTTGCAAACACTAGCGCAACACGCTCTAGCTCATTCGAGTCAGTTGCTTATCGACAAATCCCTGAAGGGCTGGAAGGAGGTGGAGTACGAGGTTGTTCGCGATGCGTACGACAACTGTATCACGGTGTGCAACATGGAGAACGTCGATCCGCTCGGCATACACACCGGCGAGTCGATCGTCGTCGCGCCAAGCCAGACCCTGTCGAATAAAGAATACAATAAGCTGCGAAGTACTGCCATTAAGGTCATCAGGCACTTCGGCATCGTCGGCGAATGTAACATCCAGTACGCGCTAAATCCGTTCTCCGAAGAATATTACATCATCGAAGTGAATGCTAGACTGTCCAGGAGCTCGGCTCTAGCCAGCAAGGCTACGGGATACCCTCTCGCTTACGTCGCCGCCAAATTGGCTCTTGGAATACGCCTGCCGGATATTTGTAATTCCGTTACCAAACAGACGACGGCTTGTTTCGAGCCGAGTCTTGATTATTGCGTGGTCAAGATTCCGAGGTGGGATCTTGGCAAGTTTCAACGCGTCAGCACAAAGGTATTGAATAATTTCTTGAATTTTTCGTTTTACCCCGGTTCGCTTCACTGAGCCACTGATATATTTATATGAATTTTTTGCTTTAACACAGTTTATATTAAAAAATATGTACGTATTATCTTTTCTCATGATACAGTATAATATCTGAGATATTAAATATTTTTTCAGATCGGTAGTTCCATGAAGAGTGTAGGTGAAGTGATGGCGATCGGTCGTAAATTCGAAGAAGCCTTCCAGAAGGCACTGAGGATGGTCAACGAGAATGTGAATGGCTTCGATCCTTACGTGAAGCCGACAAATGACGAAGAATTGGAGAAGCCAACCGACAAAAGGATGTTCGTTCTCGCCGCCTCGATCAAAGCCGGTTACTCGATCGACCGGTTGTACAAACTGACCAAGATAGATCGCTGGTTCCTCGAGAAGATGAAGAACATCATCGACTACTACGTACTCCTGGAGAACACCGATCATACGAAGCTCACGAGCGACTTGCTGCTAGGCGCAAAGCAGAACGGATTCTCGGACAAACAGATCGCCGCCATAGTGAAGAGCTCCGAATTAGCTGTCAGAATACAGAGACAAGAGCACAAAATTCGACCGATGGTCAAACAAATCGACACGGTGGCCGCTGAGTGGCCGGCCAATACAAACTATCTTTATCTAACGTACAATGGCACCACTCACGACGTGGAGTTCCCCGGAGGATACACAATGGTGATAGGTACAGCGTTAAAAATAATTATGTTAATTAATCGCAACCAAATTTCTTCGATAAGAAAGTACTAGTTTGTTAGTCAGTCGCTGCATCAACTCTGTATCTACGTGACTTTTCTTACAGCTACTTATAGCAGAAAGAGGAAAAAATACGCCCAGTTAATAAAAAAGATTATCACAGTTTTAAGGTGGACACGAACGATGTATTATTAATGTGTCTTTCAGGTTCCGGAGTGTACAGGATCGGCAGCTCAGTGGAGTTCGATTGGTGCGCCGTGAGTTGCCTGCGAGAATTGCGAAATCTTGAACGTAAGACCATCATGGTGAATTACAATCCAGAGACAGTTAGCACAGACTACGATATGAGTGATAGGCTGTACTTCGAGGAGATCTCATTCGAGGTGGTGATGGACATATATGACTGTGAGTGCCCTGAGGGTATAATTCTATCCATGGGTGGGCAACTGCCTAACAATATCGCCATGGATCTGCATAGACAACAGGCACGAATCCTCGGGACCTCCCCGGAATCCGTAGACGGCGCCGAAAATCGTTTCAAATTCTCCCGTATGCTCGACAGCATCGGCATATCACAGCCGAGGTAACCAATTTTCATTCGATGTAGGTGAACGTACACGTGCACTTACTTATCGTGATCATTCTCTCAATTCGTATTTTGTTCTTCTACTTTAGATGGAAGGAACTAACGAACTTGAAGTCCGCGATTGAGTTTTGCGAGGAAGTCGGCTATCCATGCCTCGTGAGGCCTTCGTACGTGCTAAGCGGAGCCGCCATGAATGTCGCTTACTCGAATCAAGATCTCGAGTCTTATTTGAAAAGCGCGAGTGAAGTCAGCAAGGAGCATCCCGTGGTAATATCCAAGTTCATCCTCGAGGCGAAGGAGATCGACGTCGATGCCGTGGCTTACGAGGGGATTATTTTGTGCATGGCCGTATCCGAACACGTGGAAAACGCTGGCGTTCATTCCGGTGATGCGACGTTAGTAACACCGCCGCAGGACATCAACACGCAAACACTGGCAAAGATAAAGAGCATCTCTAAAGCAGTGGCGGCGTCTTTGGGAGTTACTGGACCTTTCAACATGCAGCTAATTGCGAAGGTACACGTCGCAACACGCGTACACATCACTTCTACTGCTTAGATATCAAAATATTAAGTGTACAGACTTTATTATATTTCATGTCTCAAGTGACGATTAATATCATTTTTATGCAGGATAACGAGCTGAAGGTGATTGAGTGTAACGTGAGAGTATCCAGATCTTTCCCTTTCGTTTCCAAAACTTTAGATCACGATTTCGTTGCGATGGCAACTCGTTTAATCATGGGGTTAACAATCGAACCTGTAGACGTTTTAGCTGGCTGTGGAAGAGTTGGAATAAAAGTACCACAATTTTCCTTCTCCCGTCTTAAAGGTAAAAATTTATATATATACAATTGACGGAAATTTATTTAAACTTGTATCGCAACATTAAACGCCACATCCAAGTTTCTTAATTATCTGAATGTTTGTTTATTAACATTTTTGTATGACACTCTCACTTTTTTGTGTAATTAACTTTGCTTTTAAATTTCTCTCTTCTAAATTATTTAAATTCAAGTTTCAAAAAAGTTTTGTCCTTTTATCCTTTTTGTCCTCTTTTTTTGTAGAAAGATTATTAGGTATTATTAGATTAATTAGTTAAAAAAAATCATTGAGATGTAAAAGGTAATGGTACCGATTTAATTGAAGGCGCTGAGGTAACATTGGGCGTCGAGATGGTCTCCACCGGAGAAGTAGCGTGTTTCGGCGAGAATCGTTATGAAGCTTACCTGAAAGGCATGATGAGCACCGGTTTTCATATGCCCGAAAGGGGTATTTTACTCTCTGTGGGAAGTTTTAAGGTAGCCGCATTATAAAAGAACTCTTCTTTACAAAAATCTCCTTGCACACGTTGTACTAAAATTAATTTATTTTGGAAACTGAAAATCTCTAATGTTGATTTTTCAAATTTCATTTGTGACAATGCAAAACTGTTGTTACTAATAGAAAAGCAAGTTGCAAACATAAATTCTTTAAAAAAATTAGATGGTTTATTAATAAAGTGTATATAAAGAATATATTGTATAAAAATGTGATTTTTACAGCATAAAATGGAGTTGCTCGAGTCTATCAGAAATCTGAAGAACATGGGATACAAGTTGTACGCCAGCATGGGCACCGCCGACTTTTACACCGAGCATGGTGTTGAGGTAAGCGAATAAATTTCTCATTAATTGCTTTATGTCGTTTTAGATATGATATTTAATTATCACTCGCATGATCGCGTATATGGAAAGAATGATTTACACGTAATATTTACAAGAATGCTCACAAGAAGAAGGCATTTGTGAGAGATGTGCTTGTACACCGGTTAAATTTTTCGAGTTTTCACAATTTGAATTTATAACATGGTGAAATATGATGCCTGATTTTACAGTATGGATATTTGAGTTGAAGAGATATCGCATTTAATCGTGATAAAATTAAGGATTTAATGAACTGACATAGATACAAAGATAATGAGATTAACGATAACGAAGTAACGAAAGATAGAGCGAAATCGTTAGATTCGTGTATAAAGTTCAAAAAGACAAATATGAGTGTATTGTGAGATATAAAAATTAAACTTTTTCTTTAAATTAGAAATATTTCTTAGTAAAAGATTCTCTTTTTGAAACATGTAATCCAGCAATGCGCTCTACTATGCTAAGTACACGTGCGATGCTTTACAATGACATTGCTATTTTACAAAAATATATTCGCTAGTTGAACCTAACTGCGGCTACTTTTATAAATTACTTTAACTATTACTAATCACTACGTGTATATATGTGTGTGTGTGTGTGTGTGTGTGTGTGTGTGTGTGTGTGTGTGTGTGTTCGCTCTTGCATAACGCGACGATCGAATATCGACAATTCGCAAGCGTGCGATAAGCACGCTCAGTCTTCCTCGATTACTTACTAAATCAACTTTCGATCACTCTCGAAATATAAGAATAAATACCATTTCGATTTTCTTCGAGCGCAATTATTGAATACAAAGATTTGTCTTTATCGCGCTTTCCACAGATCATCTACGTCCTATTTCTAAACGCATGTATATGTCGTTTCGTTTAGATTGTCCGCTAGAGAGACCACTTTCTGTACCGTACCCGAGGCCTCGGTCGAAACCTCTATCGAAGGATCACCCTGATCCTTCGATAGAGGTTTCCTCGAAGCGTAAGGATCTTCGTCCTCGGTCGTAATCGCGCTCGCAGTATCCGCCTGCGCGGCTCCCTCGTTCGTTAATTGTACCGGAGCAGCCGTTTTTGTGACCTTGTTCGTGTGCTCTTCATGACTAGATTGCGGTCGCTCGTTCTTTGGCTTCATGATCTCAGAGAATTGTCGCGTAAAACGATCTTTCATGTTGACGCTGAACACAGGCTCTTGATTCCTCTTAGGCGTTTGCGGTGGTTTGTTCGGCGATCTCGTTGAATTCACCATTGGCCTCATCCTCAGATTATAGATTTTCTTGCGATAAGCCTTCGCGTCGTCCTTGTATCTGGCCATTTCCGATAGGATAATCGACAATCGATCAGCCTGATCAAGATAAACATTTTTCTGATAAGACCGATACTTATGACAGCATTCGGCCATTTTGACGAAATGCGTGATGAAAAAGCCCAACAGAGCGCCCAGCCTTATATCCTCCAATTCGGCACACCGTTCCTGGAAAAGAGAAAGAAGAAACGAGACAGGAATGTGAGTTAGCCGTGACTCTTGATCCACTAATCGCGAGAACCGCGATAAGATTAGATTCGAGAGAATTCGTTTGGGTTCATGGTCTGATCGCGCTTTTTGTCTGGTACCAATCAGTTACGATAGTAATGTATCGAGCTGAATTGCTCGTTATGGATCCGTTGATCGGTAATCTTATCGCTCAAGGAACTCACCGAAATCTCGACGATAGAGTCCGTGGCCTTGCGCGGCATGATCAGCGTCCGGCTCACGGTTGACGTGCTGTAATTTTGCGAATTCTTCTTTCGGTTATTCTGCCAGTATCCAGGGCGATCGGCCTTGTTGTAGATCTCCTCTCGACAATGCTGCGTATTCCTTTTCCGAGACCAGTCCCTGGATCTGCTGTAGATCTCTCTGTGGGACTCGTAGATTTTCGACGACGATAAATGCATGTCTAAGGCTGGATTCATCAAGGCCTCTAACGGTCTCACCGTCAGTAGCTTGAACAGCTTCGTAAAGTCTACTTGCGGGAAGAACTTGTCGCTAAGCTTGATATTTTCCATCGCGTGGAACACATACATGATAGGATTCTCGATTATCCTCTTTAGTTGCTTCTGGCTGTGCAACAGGTAATCGAAAGGCACTTTGTCAAATAGATTTTTATCGCGGAGGAAATAGTCCGGTAGATTGGGTTCGCTCTGTCTGATGCAGCGATAGAGGCTGCTCAGCAACTTGATCAGGCACTCGCCGGTCCGATTGTCGGGCCACTTGGAAGGCCCGTCGTCCTCCTCGATCAACCAGAATAGCTTATTCCTAATGTGAGAGATGGTCAGGCCGTGCGTCGTCTCCTGGACCGATCTTAAAAATGTCTTATAGAGCATCAGCGCGATCAGGTACACTTGCACTTGCGAGTGCGTCATGCAGGTCTCCAGGTATCGTTCCGCAGCTGGGAATATCAGCTGCCACTCAAGTTCCTGGTGTTTATTCTTCTTGACACCTTGACGGTGCCGAGATAATCCATTTGACAAGAGTCTTTTCGGCAGAGAGTTTTCGGGCACCACGTAACAACCTAAGTCCTTCACTTTATTGATGTCATTGTACTCAGGCCAAGTGCTTCTCGGTCTGTCCAGCCATTCCTGCGCGTACTCCGGCCACTGCAGCCGTATCGCCGGCGAGATCTCGTAGGACTCGATACGCCTGGTAGTGTGCGATGCAATCATCTTGTCACAGTGAATAACCGACTCCTCCATACAATTCCGATCGACCTGCTGGAAACCCAGCGGCTTTGCCAATTGGTCTGCGAAGAAGTCGGCGAAGTAGTTCATGAATACTCTACTACTAGTGTAGAAAACATCGAAGTCGTATTGTCTGTCGGCCATCATGAGGCGAAATTGCAAGCTGTTCTGCGGCCTCCTCTTCCGGCGCACCGTGTAGATCTTGTCGTTGTTGTTGATCCTCATCTTCTTAAAACACTGCCTTGGAATCATCCCGTTCAAATCGTAGATCTTCGTCGATGCACCCGCGGCAGTTTCGTCATGAGTCGCGTTACGAATAGCTTGCATGCTAGATGCTTCGTAGCTCCATTCGCTCTCGCTGTCGCAAGCTCCGGATCGGCCGGTAGTTCCGTAGCCGGAACTCGAGCTGCTTTCTGGCGTGCGAATTTTATGTCTCACCGATTTTGCCGTACTGGATCGGGGGGGATAACACTGATAACTCCTTTTCCTAATCTCCTGTTCGTTCTTCGACCACGTTTTCCTGCCGTTACTCATCCTGTCCTCCGTCGAGGACATGTGTTCACAATCAGACTCGGTCTTGATATCATGGTTGGATCGGGTTTCGTACATATTTTTGCACGAGAGAGATATTTGGTCTTCGTAAATTACCTCGTCGTCACATAGATTGGGCAAAGATTTGGCATTAAAAGTTAAAGACGTCTGGGGAGATCCTCTCTTTCTGTTTCGCTGATGCGGAAGCATCATGTTCGAATTACGACTACAATCGCTCTCGCCGTCGCTTTCGTATACCTCGGTGTCATCCGCCGTTGAGGAAGGATCGATGTCTTCTTTGTTGAAGTTTCTCGCGTACGGCATTTCGTCGAGGCGTTGCAACAGCACGTATCCTATCGGCACAATGTGATCTTTAACTAAATGCTACTGAGTTCATTAAGAAAATTTTCTTATACAAAGAATTTCATTTAACGCCATCTCTTTCAGGCCCAGTTTCACCAAACGTCGTTTAACTTTAATCTTGGTTTAATTCACGTTTGTCTCTTTCTAAAGTAACAGTTGGCAAAAGACAAAGAACGAATTAAGCTAAGCTTAAGGTTAAGCGACGTTGATGGAACCGGGCCTCAGTAAAATAAAATTTAACTCTCGTTAAATTCTATAAATTTTATTAAATTTATAGCATTACATTTACAAGTTTATATAATAGCGTGAAAGATAAATCATTGAAACTAATGCGTTTATGTGGGAATAATCTTAATTTAAAACTTTCTTTATATAAATTGGATTGTGGAATGGGGCATTATTTTATGTAATTTGTGTTTAAAATTTTGCGAAAATTTTTAAACAAGATTCTTTATTTCAAAACTATCGATTAATTCAATTTTTGTTAAAAAGTAATCTATTTTAAATTGAACCAAGAACACATTGGGAAAAAGCGAAGACAATCTGAGATACTTTACGAGTTGGAACAAGTTTACTCACCGGGATTTTCACTTGCTTGCACCATCAGGTTATACGTAATCCCATTATTCAGGCTACTGTATTCTGATACATAATGTTGCTCCGTAATTTCTATATTGTTGTGCACAACATAAATGCGAATAGGTTGCAATGGTTCGTTAACAAGAACACCGGTCTGTCTCGTCGAAGTGAATTCGACGTTACATGAGATGTGCTTCTGAAGAACGTCCGGCAAAAGAACGTGCTTTTGAGATGGTAGTCTCTTATTTAATTCGCTTTCGTAGGATGACGCCAGAGTTTCTTTAATTTGAATTATGTCACTGCAAAAGTAGTTTTCCGATAATTAGTTTCGTATAGTTTGTCACATTAACAGTACAGAAAAGTCTTGTATTATGAAATGGAATTCTAATATGAGATAGTAAGTTTTCAATGTCCAAATTCAATCACAAATTTTCCACTGAATAGATTTCACTCCAAGAGCAATAAATGCGTAGTGGAATCAACAGATGATGCCTATTAATTTAGCAGGGACTCCGCTATCTCGTATAAGGAGCCTATCTCATAATAGGGGACTTTCCTCTACATTTAATAACATTTATGTAAAGTACATGCTTTGCTTTTTTTGCACTGCATTCGTTATTATAACTAATTAAAATGTCACCATGTAAAAGAAATGAGAGTATTTAAATATTTGTATAAGTAATGATTAATATTAGAATATATATAAAAAATAATAAAAATAATATTATGACGTATGATTAAACTGCATTCTTATGAATAAATTAGTTTATTGAAATTAATTTTTCTTCAAGATAATATATAACGTTAATTATAAAGTAATAAAACTGTGTTGCAGTATAGATCTTTAATGTGAATGTCAAGATAATCCCTTATTTTGCGGAAGCGCGTATGATTATCGTGCACAGTCATCGAGGGGATTTGCAAATTGAAAAACAAAAATAATATTGAGAAATTGTAACACATTTCCTTCCTGTTGCAATATATGGAATTTGTTATATTAATACATAGGGATTTGCAGATTAGATTAAATTAAGATAATATCAATACATTTTAATCAGTTAAATGTTTCCTCTGTTTCCAATAAATTTCTGGACTGGATATTATCTATAAACAACATGCAATAATACGGTCATCCTCTATAAATAAATCGGCACTGGTTTTGCTGTTAAATTTTTTCTAGTCTGTTCATGGTGCAACAACTAGGAAGTGCAAGTAATTCTTTAACAGTACATTAACTTTACCAACTGGAACATTCTTCATCGAGACAATAAATAGCATATATCAAATACTACACCCCATTTTCTAAAGTCCCTTTACACGTTCGATCACGATTGTGCCGCGAACCATCATTATTCCGCAACGAGTCACAATACAAAAGAAAAACATTGGAACGGGAGTGCTTACTCCTCATAATTCTCGAAGAACTGGATACACATCATGAGATTGTTTAAGATAAAACTGTTAGGATCATTTAGGATTGTCCTCTTCAACAATGTCACATCCTCGTCCATCTGTTTGCTGGCTGCACCTCTTGCGATGGGCCCATTGCTTCCCAAGTGGGTATCTCTTTTGTTTCTCGAGCTTACGATTCCCATTTTTCCTTTTTACCCAATGACATAACAAATTGCACCCACACAAAAGATAGAGAGAGAGGAGGAGAGACGGCCACGTGGAGTATCCCCACGTAGGGCGCGCGTCCTCAGGATCGGTCGCGATGCACTATAGGCTACTTCGGGATTCACTACAGGTCACCGACACACTCCTTCATCCTAGTTTCAAGGTCAGCGAAAACGGGGACGCAGCATTGTGCGTGCGCGCGTTAGGACACGTCGATGACTGGCGAGGCAGTAGTCCTCTCGCGGGGAGTCTGGGTCGATAAATAGCTATCAGGTTATCGATTTTAATCGGCCGCTTACTATTGGGCATCGACAAACAAGCCCGATGTAAAATACTTGTGGAAGATCGCGCTGGCATCGGGTAAGATAAAGCCTCGGGATTCCACCGAGTTCGCCAATGTCCAGCAGTTTCACATCGCTTATCGCGGGGGTGAATCGGCATAGGAACAATGCCACAGCCATTCAAGCAGTATATTTAGAACTTTAGAACAACCTTTATTATTTTTTCCATGTCCTATCAATGTTTCCTCTTTTCCTGACGTTACTTCCTAGATCTGGTTATCATATCTATTAATCCTAGACTAAACAAGTAACTTTTATCAGTAAGGCCGTGTTTTATCTTTTTCAATAATAACATCTAGTTCGTTATCTAACTAGCCTACTAATAACTTACATAAATAAAACATTTTTATTTTGTAGCTAGTAATCAATGACAATTATAATTAATTACGATGGAAAATATTCAGAAAAATGCTAGCAAAAATATGAGCCGGTCATGTACAAGCGGCAAGTTACAGTAGTTGCTGCGAAAAAGGGAAGCTATTGACATAATGATTATGTTACAGTAATATCGATTATTCGATGCAATCTTCCCTCTCCGACGATATGTAATCAGTTTTTATTGTACTATTATACCCAATGTAGCGCGCACATAAAAGATTGCCGAAACCATTGCCGTAATAGCTTCACCCGTTAGATAAGAAGTACTATTATAATAAAATTATTATTGAGGCGCTCGTCACGAGTTATCGTACATAGACCCACGTCAGGTCTATCTTCTTTCGAAACGCAATCGAATTTCGTGGTATCGCACAGGACCACAGTAGTGCACCTGGTAACATTATTTCGTATACCAGTGTTACGTGTGGCATATATCGCGAATAAAAATTGCCCTTGTTATCTAATCTACGCGCGAAATTCCTATCGGTGTAATTTGGTACATTGCAGATTAATTCGGGAGCACGGCTCGCACGACTCCCGGGGAAATCGTCATTGCTCCTCGACGTGTATCTTCGGTTTGCAAACTTGCCCCTAAAAAACGGGCAAGTTTGCTCTTCCGAAAGATGGGCAAGATATCGATCCTAACGATTCAAGGTCTCGTTCTGAATTGCCGATAAACCAAAGTAATCTTCACCGATCGATATCTGTTTCGACGATCGCAGTGCAGTGGTGCGGAAACCAACAAAATTTGAAATTTCCCTACGAAGTACACAAATATCTCCATGATTTGGGATTGTTGATTGATGCGAAAAGTCACGACGACACGAACGTTTAAATAATATTCTATATAGCTCCGAATTAAAAGTATACTGGAAAGTTAATACAGGTTTTTTTTTACATCGTCAAATGTGATGAATAGGATAGTCCAATTATTACATTTTTTAAATCAATTCTTTGATATTTTAATATACAACGTTACATATGTATATATCAAAATGAGAAACTTTCCGAGAGGACCAATCTAAAATTTACATTAAAATTGGCAATAACAGTAAAGTCCCGTTTTGTAAACAATCTTTGGTTCTGTTATATTAAAGTAGACCGCATTTAGGCACCGCTGAAGCATTAAATCGCGTAACGTTAAACGATTGAATATGCAAACAAGACTTTTGTAGTAAATGGCGATTATCAAGATGATAATGTTCATCTTTGGAATGTTATATATCTATTAAACATTTTAAAAATTATTTATGTGTGACATATATATATAACGTACATGTATATGTTTCTTCAATGTACAAAGTGCAATAGTACTTGTATGTAACGTATATAACTCAACGAACAAAGGACAATAATTCTTGAAAAGTCAATGCACGCAAAATTGAATATCTTAAAAGATTTAAGGTAATTATTTAGATTAACACACCCACCTCCAATAACCTTGGGCTTGACATATATTATAGAGGTCACCCTCCTGAGTAACCCTCAGAAGGATTTAGCCGGCGCTCTTTGTTTATTAAAAAGTTATTAAAAAAACAATGTCAACCAATTATATGTAATTTTTAGACACAAATATTAAAAATTTTGAAAAATGTTTTAAACAAAAGTTGTAGATCTCTTTGAAATATACATTTTATG